AGTAACCACACTATGTGAAGTGGTGTGAGGGGAGGACGGATACATGGGCCAGTGAGGTGTAGGTGATATTAAGCAATTGCTTTGTTCTAGATGGTAAACCTTGTTGAGAGCTGTTACAACTGCAATATCCAGGCAAGTAGAAAACTCCCGACTTGTGTTTCATAGATGGTACAGAGACTTTGTTTTCCAGAAAGTGACCCATTGGAACCAAATATCAAGCCTCTGACCTGTTCCAGCAACCATGATATTTATGTGACCAGCCAGCCCTCTGGTCAGTGATAATTCCCAGCATATTAATGACAGAGAAAGCAATAATAGTAGTAGTATTGAATATCATCGGTTAATTGGTTAGGCTTTGTTTGGTTGTCGATCATACACGAGAAGTGCAAATGTTTACTGGTCCTATTAACACGGAGTCATGCCAGTTACTGGTCCTTGAGTAAAGTGATTTTGGATACATTTCTGCAGGTCATGACAACTGCAACATTCATATTTCTATGCATTAGATATAAAATTTCCTTTTAAGATTTTGCAATTCCAGCAGGTCAAAATACCAACTTTTCAATGCAGGAGGGCTTGAAAAAAAAAATGATGGACTTCATGACATTAGCCCACAAGTTTTTATGCAACTATGGATTTAATCTTTCAAATGGAAAATGAATTTTTGTTTATATTGAGCACAAGGCTACAAGGCATGCGATGTTTTCCTGGTATCTCACCTAATGAACATTTATTTATGCAATGATACCTATCTACATCAAATGAATTTGGTCAGTTATACCATAACTACATTCTCTTAAAAAAAAATGCAGACATTACAATGTTTTTGACATATGCATCTCTCCATCAAAATACTACTTTCAGTTTTTCAGCACCTTAATACTTATAAACAATATGGGTAGTCTTATAGCAATGGAATTTCTGCTGTGGGCTAGAAACAGCTCAGAAATATTAATCTTCACCTCAATCTAGGAGCAGGAGTAGGCCATTTAGCCCCTCCAGCCTGCTTTGCCATTTAGTATGATCATAGCTCACCTGATTACAGCCTCAACTCAATTTTCTTGCCTGTCAAATTTAACCCTACACTCTATAAAAACCAAAAGAACAGTGGATGCTGTAAATCAGGAGCAAAAACAGAAGTTGCTGGAAAAGCTCGGCAGGTCTGGCAGCATCTGTGAAGAAAAATTAGAGTTAACGTTTCAGGTCTAAAGACCCTTCCTCAGTCACTGGACCTAAAACGTTAACTGATATTTCTTCACAGATGCTGCCAGACCTGCTGAGCTTTTCCAGCAACTTCTGTTTTTAACCCTACACTCCCTTGGCAACCAAAAATCAAACCAACTCAGCGTTGAATGTATTCAATGACCATGCCTGCACTGCTCTCTGGGGAAGGTAATTCCTAACTAATAAAATGTATAAACCTTCCAAAAGAAAACACATTTTCTTCTTCTCAGTTTTAAAATGGATGACCCTGTGTCCCTTGGTACTAGACTTCCTCGCATCCTTCAGCATTCAGCCTATTAAATCCCCTTAACGTCATACATGTCTTCATAAGGCCAGCTCTTTTTTTCCAAACTGTGTATTGGTCCAACTTACCCAACTTTTCCTCAAAAAATAATCTAGATCTAAAATCACTTCAACACCATGAGTTAACTTTCACTGAACTGTTTTCAATGCAATTTTATTCTTTAAGCAAAGAGACCAAAACTATACTCAGCATGCTAGATACAGTCTCACTAAGGCCCTGTACAGTCGCGGCGACACTTGCTACTTTTGTCAAATACCCACAACATTCCATTCCCCAGAAAATAATGCATCACGTGACCATTTGAGTTGACTGTAAATGGTGTTCTGATGCTTGAGGTGCAACTGTTGGTTGGCATGGCACTGAATCAAAGAGAACAAGACTTTGGAACTAAAAGGAAGGCTGATTTGTGCTTGGTTACGTAATTTAACCCATAGCAGAAGTAAGGACCAAGGTTAAAAGCAGCTGCTCCAAAGGCTTCCACTTAGCCAGCAGACACTCACTGTTGGGCTCATGCAAATACCACGACAGTGGTGGTATCACCAGGGAACCAAATGCCAACATTAAACTAACGCTTTCAAGAGAGATAGGAGAAAGGGCTTCGAGGGGCAGTAGACTCAACAAGGGACACAATCATGAAACCATAAGTAATTGGAACAGAAGTAAGGTTTTTGATCCCTTGAACCTACTCTGATATTCAGTAATATTCTGCCTGATAGATAACATCAGATACATCTTCTTGTAGCATCCCTATCCACAGCGTCAAAGAATCTATTAATCAGTCACTAACTTGAATATTCTCAATAATTGAAAACATTCATAACTCGTGGTAAAAAAATTCTCCAAGTGTTCACGACCTTTTGGACTAAAAAGGTATCATCTCGGTCTTAAATGGCCAACACCTTATTCAAAGGCAAAGGCCCCCTAGTGCTAGGCTCTCCAGTCAGCAGAAACATTGAACAGAATTTCCTCAATCCTTAGAGGTGGCTCTGGAGGTGGAAGATGGCCAGGCGCCTCAGAACCTGGAATTAGCCCAAAGCTGGGTTTAAAATTCAAACGGCAACATTCAGTTCAAACTCTCAGCATCTACTGTGTCAACCCTCTCAAAAAGAGTTTTACTTGCTGAATCTTGATTTCCTTAGTACATCTATATTCACTTATGTGTTGAAAGTTTATCCCTCAAGTATTGCAGTTAATGTAACTCTCCATCAACCAACATTCTTGTTTAACTAGAACCACTCATTCCCTGTAAATGCTGAATAATACAGATTTGACCATACTTTGTTTTCGTAGTGAAAGACATGAAAAATATTCCAGATGAGATCACCTCTCATTTTCTTAAATTCTAGTGAGCATAAGCCTCGTCTATTCAATATCTCTTCTCACAGTGCAATGCTCTGATCCCAAGAATCAATCTGATAAACTTTCATCCCACTCTCATTCCTATGCAAGACTTTCAAAACTCTACAAAGTACTACAGCTAAAGTATCACCATGGCCTAAATGAAGGCAGTGAGGCTTCTTTAATCCAATAATCTGATCCTTGTTTTCCTGTTTGCTTGTCATATACATGAACTTTCTGCAATTTATGTACAAGAACACCCAGAAAGCCCTCCCATTTTTCAGTCACCAAATATGTTCTATTTTTCCTATCGAAGTAGATAACTTCACATTTCCCCACGATGTTTTACAGAGAACGTCCATACCCACTCTATGTGCTGCTGCAGCCTACATGCATGGCCTCAATGCTTATTTTTCCAAGAAATTTTACATCATTACAAATTTGGATACATTACACTAAGCTCCCCCATCCAATCGTCACCTTGGCTGACCCTTGCAACACTCCGCCAGTTACAGGCTGCCAATGGTAAAATGACCCATGTACTCTTACTCTCTGCTTTCAGGACATTAAATAAACCTCAATCTATGAGGCATAATTTTGCATAATAACTTCTTCTGTTACACCTTTTAAAAATTCAGGCACACCACATTCCTTATCCTCCCATCTTAATGTCAAACAACTTTTAAGAAGTTTGCCAAATATTCTGACAAAAGGTCACTGGGCTTGAAACGTCAACTCTGCTTTTCTCTCTATAGGTACTGCTAGACCTGCTGTGTTTCTCCAGCACTCTGTTTTGGCCAAACAGGATTGCTCTCTGAGTTGACTCTGCTAATCATATTATGAATTTTTAAATGTTGCCTGGCCATTTCCCTAATAATTAATGAGCATTTTCTCTATGACTGATGCCATATTTATTGGTCTTTAGTTTCCTGCATTTTTCCCTTTTCCTTTCTCACATACAGGGTTACTGCTGCTGCCGCCTTCCAATCTGCAGAAACTGTCTAGAATGCAGGAAATTTTAGAAGATCAAAACCTGTATATCCAGAAGGACTGAAATCACATCCTTTAAAATTCTAGGTTGTCAGCCATTAATTCTGTCAACCTGCTGGCCTTCCATCATGTTTCCAACACTCTTTCTTTCCTCACATTAATTTCTTTTTAACCTCCACACTTGTAACTCTTATACAAGGACTCTTAAACACTGCTACCTCCACAATTTTCAAATTTCTTCTTCTGCGAAAGTAGGTACAAAATACAGTCAAATCTTTATTGTATGGCGTGTGTTAGAATGCAGAGGCTGGTTAATCAAAAATGCCAGTTAATGGAGGATTACATTTACTGATGGAATACAGCTTAATACACATATAAAATATACATAATAAATTAATGTTCGGGCAGTCAGGAATACAAAAACAGTGTTCTTTTTACTTGTAATCCTCAATAGTACATTTAAAAAATGAAAGTGCAAGATAATTTAGTTTACAGAAGAAATGCACCTGCATAATTTGCACACCCAAGTCTATTTCTCTGTTTAATACCAGATTCACTACAATAACCAGAGTAGAATTCAATAAACATTGCCAACTTAAGTCGGTTTTCTCTGCATCATGAATTTGATCAAGTGTTAGATTAAGTTCAGAAATCAATTTTTGCCAAGAAAAAGTCACATTATCTTCATGATTAGCTGATTTTGCTTTATGGATATACCTAACTTTCAAATGACATGAAGTAGTTTAAACACACAAGCTATTCATCAGGAAATGCACACAGTTCAGTCAATTTCAATACTACATGACTTTTTTTGCTTATCAAAATGAACACTGGGCTAGGCACAAGGGCATCCTCCGAGCGTTTCAAAAAGCATTTACATTAAGCACCGTCGAGCTGCTCTAGCTTAGTACAGTAGTGTTTTTGAATAGCTTTATTGATTCAGAGCCAACAAATACATTTCAGCAATTTTTTTTTTTGACCTCTGATAGCATTGGCTCATCCATGATATGACTTTGTTTTGCATCAAAACCTTCCAATTTTCATCCTTTTAAATACAGCTAGATATGTAAATTTCCTATTTTAGTGTCAACTCAAGTTTTTTGTGCTTCTCACTTTGGCTTTTCTGGAGTTCATTGGATGCCCTTATGATTACATGTCATTGTGACAGGATGGGAGTTTATAGTTTATGCATTGAAAATAAAAGTTGTGATGATGGCTACAAACATGAAGGGCTCCAATCAGCTTTACTAGAAGCTTGCCAAACTGTACTGAGATTACCTGAAAAACTTTCGGGTTCTGGAAAACTTCTGAATGGCTTCTAGTTGCTAAAGTGATGTTTTGCACTGGGAAAGGATCGTAAATTGAACTTAGTCAAGAATTTCAGTTTGTTATATACCAGATAAAATAAAGTTTCTTTGTCCCTTTAACATTTCTGTTATTTGGCTGCTTCCAATGATAATTTCTCCTATCTCTGTCTCTTATGATGGAACAGCTAAGAGGATGACAGCAAATAAAAGGCTTTATTTATCACCCGTCCACTTCAAACAATCCCACACAGCTGTTCCTGAATGAATCACTGATGACTACACAGTCCTCCATAGCCCAATGCACTCAACCCATAAATGTTGACAGTTCAGAGTCAGACCCGCTCTGAATTTCTTTAAAAATGGCAGTCGGGTCCCAGTTCCAGAATCCCTGTGCCGCAATTCAGTTTTTGTCAACTTTCACTGACATGAGATAATGTGTGGCTAGTGAGCACATTTGAGGCACACATACCCTTGCCAACAGCTAAGTAGTTGAAAGTCCGCCCCCAACCCCTCATTTTGTTAGAGGTAGGTCTTTCAGTTAGTAAATGTAGTTCATAGGCACATTGACAAGTTGTAAACCACAGGGAAAACCCAGTTCTGAGCCTCAAAGAAGAATCATTGAGTCCATTTAAATATGTTAGCTGTCTTACAATCTCAAAGTTATTAACCAATCATAGGCACTCATAATATCAACGTCAGAGCTTTTATTCACTTCAGACCTTATTATTTATCTAATAAACACATTGGCAGGGAAAAACACTTCAAAGAAATAGTGCATATTAAAAAGCGATAGAGATACTAATCCAACAAAACTTATACTCTTCTCTGCATTGCATAAATATTGCTTGCTGAGCTAGTTATATTAATCATTCTTGGAGACATTTACAATGAGTCCATCTTTCACACTGATTTTATTGATTAAGTTGTCAAAAGTTATAACTTTGAATGCCTCACCTCTCACGAGGAGTGGTTAACGCACTTAGACCTCAACAAGCAGCATTTAGATAGAATGTGCCCTTTGACTTATGTCTGTCAGCCTACAAAATCTGTTGTTTTTTTTGTTTAGAAGAGTTGCTTTCCACTGCTTGTGTATTGATTTACACAAATTTAAGAGATCTAAAATGGATAAAAGCTTCAGTAGTTAAATGCTGATTAACTGTTGTTAATTGATACTTTAAGAGGTTGTACACAGAACAGTCTTTCCCCCCAAACCACGAAGGATCTTTCCAAAGCCTTTGCTTGTTGTGTCAGCTACAACATTATTTCAAAGACACTTCAGAAAGATTCTACGCTGCTGTCCGCTCCATCCTCCCACCTTGGTTGCCAGCTCTGACCCATCACCAAAGACAATGGAGCTCACCTCCATCTTACCCCCAACATCCCAGAATGAAAATACAGTGGGTGGGGTCTCCTTAACAGATCCAGATGTACAGGGTTGGAGACATCTTCAGTTCCAGATGCCCACCTCCTTCATGAAAATCTGGGTCAAAGGATTTTGTTCACAATGGACAACTTTTAAAACTGGGCAAATATCTGATAGCAACAATGCAAATACAGATAACTTGAACACTGATATCCCTTGGAATCATGATTTTTAGGAGAAATTAAAGTTTAGAATTTTCCCTAGCTCTTGGCTATTCAGAGACAGGGTACACAAGTCCTTTTGGTCCTAAAGGAAACCACCCTCCTAATATTAAAAAAAATGCAACCATGTTAAAATACCACGCAAATACATGCGCAAGTGTACTCACCACAGGCTTTGGCAGCTGCAATGCAAATCTCTTCTGCGACGTATTTATCTGGTGGAAACATTAGGGAGTTGTTATCCGGTTTGCCGGGAATGGGATAAAGTTTTACATGAAGTCCCATTCCAGTCTGTTTGGGTGCCCGTGAGCTTTGATGAAGATCTCCATTTTGAAGTGGGGCTGATCCGGTGTCCATATCAGTTACTGTAATGCAGGCCATCATTTTTTAATGGCAGGCAAAGTTTCTTTCCTCACTTTACAACTGCAAAACAAGAAAAGAAATAAAAGCAAATTAAAATATATGATAGAAAAAGGCAGGGTGGATTTTGAAATGTAGTGTGGCAGATATTTGAACTTGCAGTCAGAAAGCGTGAAAATGCTATTGCCGATTGACCACGTTCAATGAAGTCTGCTTCTGTAACAGGCAGCAAACTCGAAATATTAATACAATCAGACAAAAAGGTGCAAATCCACACTCGTTTTTCACACTTCACCTTTAAGACTGATATATTTTCGCCAAAAAAATACTTTATTCATTAAATCTGTTAAAAGCACTTTTCTTAAAATAATTCAACCTCATATTACAGAGAGCACAATAGAATTCAACATTTCTCCATGCAGTTTGTTCCACTTTGGAGGAACCTCAGCACAACTTCAAAAATCTTGAAACTCACAATCCTTATTCCATGTCGGTTGGGCACGTAGATTGAGAGATTCTGTACACCCACACAGCAGAATGCCTGCAAGTTCTTTCCCCATTGCACCTCTGCGGTTGCTGTACCAAGCTCTACCGCATTCCTAGAACCTTGCAATGTGCCAGTTTTGAACACTCCAAGGACAACTCTTGTACTGGAAGACTGGCATGTTTCTGACATGCCAAAGAGCTCCTTTCATCAAACTGACAGACCTCCAGCTAATTCTCAAAGATCTTTCCCACAACAGGGAGCCACAACATACTCTATCTTCCCTTCAGTCAGGTGTAAGCTACATATTTTAAAACAATCTTTTCATAATCATTGTTGGCGTTGCCCTGTGATCAGCTGACATGCAGAAATAGGACTGGTTCAGTCAATTTCCCTCCTCACTTTTGTCAAGCTGGAAATGCTCAGTCAGTCATGCAAATGAAATTTCAGGCCTGCTATTTGAACCCAGTCCCTTAAGTTGGGGGTCAAATATTGTGCTGCTGATTAGAATTCATCAGCTGATGCTGTCAATATTGACACAACATAGAATTGCTATTGATAAACACTGAGATCAAGAATGAGTAGCAAGAGGATGAAAGATGATTGGGGGTATGCAGGAATATAGATTTGAGATTAAAATCAGATCAGCCATCATCTTATTGAATATTGGAGCATGTTTGAAGGGCCGAGTGGCCTACTCTTGTTCCTTGATTGTATGTTTGTAACTGTGTCACGAATGTTGGAACATGACATCATGGAGACCAAAAACATCTCTTGATACAGTCATCAAAGATAGTAGCATAGCACAGACATTCCTGCCATTTCAACAAATCATATTTTCTTTTTAGGAAGGACAAAATACTGATTTACTAGATGCACACGAATCAGGATGACAGAGAAATATTTTTTAAATGCGGATAGATTCAGGGATTTCCGATCCCATTTCAAGTCTTTCCAATTTTAACACTATGGAAAGTCCTTAATGAAGGACTTTTACAAAGACTTTCGGTCGTCCTCATTCCCTTCACCACTTCGACATGTTACCAACTTTGAAAGGAGAGATAGATTTGTACAGTACTTCTTAAAAAGTAAGAGATTAGAAAGTGCAGTTGCACAAAAGAGACCTAAGTGTCCTTGTCGATAAGTCACTGAAGGCTAACATGCAGGAGCAGCAAGCTATTAGGAAGGCTAGTGGAATGTTTTCTCTTATACTCTTGCAAATAAAAAATCATTAAGGACTTTTCATAATGTTAAAAAAACTGCAGGGCAATAAAAGAGTCAATAGAAGACAATGTAAGCCCTTGAAATCTCAAAACCTTGTGTAAACAGACATAAATACATAAGGAGGCTTGCCCCAAAATCCAGAAGTCCACAAGCTAGGTAAAACACGAGCACCAGTTAAAGCACTGCCTAGTCGACAGCTCTGGCTCTCTGATTTCTACTGTCAATTGTGCAACAGGGCAATGGGGAGCAAGGGTGTGGGATAAAAACTGAAAAGAACTGTGGATGCTGTAAATCAGGAACAAAAACAGAAGTTGCTGGAAAAGCTCAGCAGGTCTAGCAGCACGTGTGAAGAAAAACCAAATCAATCAGGTTAACGTTTCAGGCCCAGTGACCCTTCCTCAGAACAGGGTGTGGGATGCAGCCTGGAATTGGGTACATAACATGACGTTGGGAGTGAGAGTCACAGAGTCATACAGCATGGAAACAGACCCTTCGGTCCAACTTCTCCAGGCCAACCAGGTTTCCTAAACTGAACTAGTCCCAGTTGCCTGCGTTTGGCCCATAATCATTCTAAACCATTCGTATTCACGTACCTATCCAAAATGTCTTTTAAATGTTGTAACTGTACTCAGCTCTATCACTGCCGCTGGCAGCTCATTCCATATATCACACTGGGTGGTGTGTACAAGTTGCCCCTCAGGTCCCTTTTAAATCTTCACCCTCTTACCTTAAACCTATGCTCTCTAGTTTGGGTGAGGGCTAGAAGGCCTCACCTTTTGTATTTTAAATGGGACCAAGGCAGGCCTTTTAAATAGCTCCCCTTGGTGCCCGACAGCCTTGCAGCTGCCTGAATCTTCTTTCACCGATTGGCTGGCCCATCTGCAATCTGCACCGTCCCCTAGGCAACCAAGATCCCATCCTTCCTGAATCTGTTTTTCCTTAAGTGGGCACGTAGAGAGAGGGAATTGTGCAACTGCTGTTACCTGCCTCAGTGATGAAAATCCAGGCTGAGGTTTATCATTATCACTTCTCGAACTATCGTTGCCAACCATGACAGCAGTGACATTTGAAGTGGATGCTGGCAACCCTCCACTACCTCAGCCACATTGACTTGCCTGTGAAGAAAGCTGCAGCTTTTCAAGCAATTACAAGGTCTTGATCTGCTTCAGGAAACACCAGGAGCCGGAGCTATGAGTCGGAACCTGTCACCAGTCACTACACCCCACAACACAATGGAACAGTGGAAAACCACACTTCCCCTGAAACTTTTGATCCTTTCATGTTCAATGTAGAGTCAGATTCATACAGCACAGTGACAGATCCTTCGATTTAATTCAGCCACTTCAACCAGGTTTCCTAAACTGAACTAGTCCCATTTGCCTGCATTTGGCCCATATCCCTCTAAACCCTTCCTATTCATGTACATATCCAAATGGTTTTTTTTAAAATGTTGTAATGTACCCGCCTCTACCATTCCTTCTGGCAGCTGGTTCTATATACACACTGCCCTGCCTGAAAACATTGCTTCTCAGGTGTCTTTTAAATCTTTCCTTTCTCACATTAAACCCGTGTCCTCTAGTTTTGGACTCCGCTATCCCAGGGAAGAGACCTTGGCTATTCAACCCTATCTATGCCCCTCATATTGTTTAAAGTCTCTAATAAGGTCACCCTTCAGCCTCCTTCGCTCCAGGGAAAAAATCTCAGCCTTTCTAGCCTCTCCTTATAATTCAAACTTTCCAGTTTTGGTAACATCCTTTTCTGTATCCTTTCCAATGGAACAAAATCCTTTCTGTAGCAGGGCAACCAGAATTATACATAGTACTCCAAATCTGGCCTTACCAATCTCTTGTTACAGCTGTAACATGATGTCCCAACTCCTGTACTCAATGCTCTGACTGATGAAGGTGAGTGCCAAATGTTTTCTTCACTATGCTGTCTACCTGTGGCACCACTTTCAAGGAACTATGCACCTGCAGCTCTAGGACTCTGTTTGACAACAGTTCCCAGTGCAAAGCACTTTACAATCTATTAAGTATTTTGAAGATCAGTTACTCGTTTAATACATTAATTGACTTCGAATCGTCTGGAACATTTTGAACTTTTGCTTAAAAAAAGTAGCATGAATTTCAAATCTGCCCCCCTCCCGATTCCCTTTGCCCATTCACTTGATCTATTATACGTAGTTTCATTTCCTCTTCACCACTTTCCTATCTAGCTTTAGGTCAGTGGCAAGTTTAGAACCAAGCTTTCAGTCCCTTCATCCAAATAATTTGTATAAAAACTGTAAAATGTTGAGGTCCCAGTACTGACTCCTGTCGCACATCATTTGTTACATTATATGCCAAACCGGAAATGGCCCATTGATGCATATACTCGGTTTCTTGCAAACTAGCCAGTCTTCCAACTGTGCCAATGGGTGGAATTTTCTGGACTCACCTAGAGCTTTTAGAAGGATGGGTGGGGAACCTATGTGGGCAGGAGGCAATAATAATCAGGCTACTGATAGTGGGTTAAACTTAGCAGAAATGTTCAAGCAAAGACTGTTTTGTATTCATTAGCATGTTGTAAATGTTCATTGACAATCCTGCCACTGGAATTACCTTCAGAGGCACAATTTTGTTTGCTGTTTTAGGCTAAAACATGTTTACAAACCCAGCTATATACATACAAAGCGTAATCCTGGTGAAGTAGACTTCCTCCTTGACCCTCTGGTGAATACAAACATCTCCATCACTTGAATCCTTCACAACAAAGTCACTTCTTGGTGCAAATTCTTACAGTATTGGGATGAAGCCTTTCAATGTCAATGTCAATGTCAATGTCAATCAGCTCATGAGAAGTCTCCATCATATGCAAGATTACATGCTGTTGAAATTGCTTAATATAAGGGTGAAGCCTGACCAAATCGAAAAGCCTGTCCGAGGAAGTACATACACTGGGTGATAATCAACAAACCTGACCAAGACAGGCAAGTGGGGCCAAATATGAAAGGAATTTCAACTGCATCCTGGTTCCCATGCAGGCCTTTAGTGAAAAGCTATTGTACATTCTCCTAATTATAATGAAAGGTGACTGTGCTGATCGTGTATGAACTGAACATTATAGCTCCTTTTATGTTTAAAGAGTGAACCTTGGCAAATGGGCTAGAGTCAGTACCACTTTCGTGCAAGTATAACAGTGGCAGCTGCGATGAATTAACAGGCATTGATTACACATGAAGTGGCACTGTCCATCTATAGTGGCAACCTCACAATACTAACAAATCTGAAAATAGACAATGTAACTCCTTGCTTCAAAAAAAGGACGGTGGCAGAAAGCAAGAAACTACAGCCAGTGAAATCACCACCTATTATAG